ATGAAATGCTGTTTTCTGGGAATGACATGGCTGTTGCAAGCATGAACACAAAGCAGTTGTGGCTGCCTTCTCAAGAAGGATTCACAAAATGAGGCTTCACCCCTTTCTGAGGAGCCTTTAATGTTAATGTTTGCTGGGGGAGGGGCAGCACTTTCTTCAGTGATGTAGCCACTGGCATTAAAGCTTTGTGCAACCAACCCTATTTATACTTAGTGAGGCATGCAAACACTCAGAAGACTTGAAAGTAGAAGAGAGAATAGAAAAGAAAAATTAAAGGGTCAGTGAGAGCTGTATAAGAGAGGGTAATTGAGAGTAAATAGTATCACAGTGTATCATATATACATGTATGAAATTGTCAAGGATAAATCAAACCAAGACAACTTAAGTATAAAATGTTCAAAAACTAAATTCAACAATGCATTAAAAAAAGCCATATACTATGACCAACTTGCATTCATTCCAGAGATACAATAATAGTTCAAAATACACAAATCAGCAGATGAAATACATATTTAGACTCGACTTCAAAGGTCGCCCAATCATTGGAAAAGCTATAGAAAATGACTTTGAAAAATATCAACATCTCTTTATAAGTCTTGAAGAAAATTGCAGCAGAAGAAACATACCTCAACATAATAAATGTTATATAGAGCAAACATTGTGTTAAGTGGGAAAATACTGGACTCATTTCCTCTAAAATCAGGAACAAGTAGAGATGTATTCTTTCAACTCTTATTCAATGTAGTGTTGACATTTTACCAAGAGTTGCGAGGCAAGAGAATGACATTAGAGACGGACAAACAGAAAAAGAAGTTAAATTACCTCTACTTGCATAAAATATGATATTATACTTAAAAATCCTAAGGAGTCCAACAGACAATTCTGAAGCCAGCTAAGCACGTTCATCAAGATAGCAGGGTACAGAGCTAAAGGGAGAAAGCCTTTTCATTTATTGAAAATTCCATACAATATATTTTGATCACAGTCTTTCTCCTCTTCCAACTCCTCCCAGATCCCCCCTACTACCCTACACACCCAATTTCGTGTTTTTTTCTCTCTTAAAGCCAACACAAAACCTCAAATAACCCCACGAAACCATGCAGTCTAATTTGTGTGGGCCACCTCCTCCTGAGTGAGCACGGAATCTGTCCTGGAGTGTGGATGGCAGGCCTTTGAACGCCTTTGAAGAAAGCTGATTTTTCCTCTCACAGCAGGTACCAATTGCAAATAGCTTCTTTGTGCCCACTTCTCTCTGGGTGAGTGCTGTGCTTTTGGCTGGCATAAGCTTGCTCGGGTCTTGTGCATGCCGTCTCAAATTATGTGCATTCATGTGTGCATCAGTCCTCGGAGTTTACCACCTCTGTTCTCACAGTCTTGCGCTTACAGCCTCACACATAGATCCCTGAGCCTTGAGCAGAGGGGTTCGATAAAGACATTGCATTTAGGGCTGAGAGCTCTAAAATCTCTCACTCGCTACATGATGTCTCATTGTGCGTCTCTTTGTTTATTACCGTCTCTGGGAGCCGCTTTTCTGGTGAGAGGTGATACACTGATCCATAGATATAGAAATGTCATTTAGTAGTTTTACTGGTATGCTCATTTAGCTGTATAACAGTAGGTTTTCCCCTCTAGGGCCCATGACTTATGTAATCTCGGGTTCTTGGTTTCATTCACAGTGTCAGATATGGGTTCCCTATAATAAAGCAGGACTTAAATACAATTTTAAAAACTGGTTAATTCCATAATATTTATGTCAGTATTGTATCAGTGGGTATATCTTGCAGGTAGGTCATTATTGTAGTTATAGGTCTGTGGGCTACTAGGGAGTGCCTGCTGGGCCTGGGCTAAAGCAACGAGCTGGGGTGGAAGGTGAGGAGGGAAGGTCTTTGGAATCCACAGGAGCAAAGGATGAGACTGTGGATTAGATTGTAGGAGAGGAGAGAGTGGTGACGGTCTTGAGTGAGCATGTTTCCCTGGCCTGCTCAGCTGGTGTGTTCCCAGGGAATGCTAATAGTGCTGGAGGCCGGGGTAATAGAACAAGTCTTGGAAAGGAAGATTTTTGTGATCTGTCTGGGATAGTGTCAAAGAGAAAAGGGAGACCCATTTCAGCTCCAAAGCTTGGGAAGACACTAAAATAAAACCATATCTTTTGTTCCTAAATTTTATTTATGAATTAATACAAAACTTTCCAGACCAATGTGTCTTAATCCTCTTCCTCGTCGTCCTCCTCCTCTTCATCCTGGCTAATCTGGACGTAAGGAAATTCATTACTCTCCTTGCTGTTGGCAGTAACATGCAACCAGTCTTCTAGATTGTTCTTCCTCAATTTTTTTTTTTTTTTTTTTTTTTGCTAAGAAATTTCGAATACCTTTTGGAGAAAGGTACCTCAGAAGTGAAAGTAATCTTGCCCTTTCTCTGTTTGATGGTCACAACCCCTCTGCCAAAATGTCCAGCTTTCCCATTCAGTTTCATTCCCTCCTGGAGGAACTGCTCAAAATTGGCAGTATCCATGATTCTATTTTCTACAGTATGGGTGCAATCAAGGGTAAACTTCAGAACCTGCTTCTTTTTTGCCACCTTTTCCCCACAAGCTTTTTCATGGGTGCCACAGTGGCAGAGGAGAGAGAAAAGGAGCCTAAATAAAAATATTTTAACTAGCTATTATATACTAGTAAAATATAGATCTATAGGAACAGTTTTTAAAGGAACCCTAGCAATAAGCATAACCTCAAAGGTTAAAATAACCCCATAACCAGAACCCCTAACCCTCAGCTAACCTTAACCCCCTAACCCATTGGTCTTAGGGTGACCATTACTGTGATTAAACGCCATGACCAAAAGCAACTTGGGAAGGAAGAGGCTATTTTGTTTACACTTTCACATCACAGTCAATCATCAACTGAAGTCAAGTAACTCAAGCAGGAACCTGGAGGTGGGAGCTGATGCAAAAGCCACAAGAATATTGCTTACTTGCCTGTTCCACATGCCTTGCAGAGCCTGCTATCTTACACAACTCAGAACCACCAGTACAGGGGTGGGACCACCCACAGTGGGCTGAGCCCTCCCTCATCTATCACTAATTAAGAAAATGCCCTACAGGCTTCCCTACAGCCTGATCTTATAAACGCATCTCACTATCCTCTTTTTTTTTTTTTTTTAAAGATTTACTTACTTATTCTGTATAGTGTTCTGCCTGCATGCCAGAAGAGAGCACCAGGTATCAGTATAGATGATTGTGGGCCACCATGTGGTTAACGGGAATTGAACTCAGGACCATTTGGAAGAGCAGCCAGTGCTCTTTTATTATTGTGCTCTTTTATCATCATCATCATCATCATCATCATCATTATTAGTTACATTTTATTAACTCTGTATCCCAGCTGTATCCCGCTCCCCCATTCCCTCCCAATACCACCCTCTCTCCCTACCCCTTTCCAAGTCCACTGATTGGGGAGGACCTCCTCCCTTTTCATCTGACCCTGTTTTATCAGGCATCTTCACGACTGGCTGCAAAGTCCTCCTCTGTGGCCCAGCAGGACTGCTCCTCCCTTGGGAGGTGGGGAGGTCAAAGAGCCAGTCATTGAATTCATGTCAGAAATAGTCCCTGTTCCCCTTCCTATGGGAAACCAATTGGTTACTGAGCTACAACGGGCTACATCTGAGCAGAGGTTCTAGGTTATATTCATAAATTTCCTTGGTGGAGTGTCAGTCTCAGAAAAGACCCTTGTGCCCAGATATATTTGGTCCTTGTGGAGCTCCTATCCTTTCCATGTCATACTAACTCCCCCTTTTTTCATATGATTCCCTGCACTCTGCAGAAGGTTTGGTTGTGAGTCTTAGTATCTGCTTTGATACACTGCTAGGTAGAGTCTTTAGAGGCCCTCTGTGTTGGGATCAGTAAGCAGGCACTTCTACGGCCAGCTCCAAGGAACCTGACAGACCAGTTATCAGGCATTCGTGAAGACACCCAGACCACCTGCTGACCACCTGGAACTACCTGTGCATGCCCTAGATCACCCTATAAGAGAACTGGAGCCCTCTCCCTCTCTCTCTTCCTTACTCTCTTACTCTTTCTCTCCTCCTCTCTCCCCCCTTCCCCTAATAAACCTCCCACGTGGAACCGATCTCGTGGTGTGATTTGTGAACCCGCATGTAACCTCCACAGGCGCACAGACGCACGATTCCCAACATTCGCATGTTTCCTAACACTCTGCGGCAGGATCCTGTCCTGTTACTTGTTTTCTCCTATGTCCAGTGCACATCCCATTTGTCTTTCTAAGTGAGGATTGATCATCTTACCCCATGTCCTCTTTCTTGTTTTCTTCTTTAGGTGGCTTCAGTGTCCTCCCTCACGAAACTATAAACCCTGTGGTTTTCTATGAATGTCCTGTATCGGAGGGAGTAAGATGAGGCAGGGTCTGTTTTAGCTTGGTACAGCTCTCACATCCGGGAATTTGGTAGAGGTGGGTGAGTAAAATGGGGCGCTTACGTATTATTGTATCCATTTAACAATATTCTACGTCCTACATTAAAAGAGATGAGAAGAAAGGTTTGCCTCTAAGTTTACTTCCTGAAATCTGTTCTCCTATGTAAGGGATGTAGTGAGAGTAACAGAGGCTCAAGGGCCATGTTTTGGGAGCCCAGATGGTAGATTTGCAACTTGACTTCTGAGTATTTCCGTTTTCTCACTGGCAAAGTTATAGCAAGGACACAAAATTTCCTAACCTGTTCGAAGAAATTACAGTTTCTGAATTGCATACTTAGAAGTTACATACAGCAACGCTTAGCGTAGGAGGCATTTACTAAACCTTCCGTAGTGACATGCCCAACAGCCTCCGTTCAGCTTTTCCTCCAGAGCCGCTCGAGCGCATCATCAGGCAGCGCTTCAGCCTCCCATGCATCATCGGGAGGCGCGCGCTAGCTTCCGGCGGAGGAGCGCCGCAGAAAGACCTCGGGTTCCGCCGACGCGAGTGATTGCGTCATCAGGAGGCGCGGCGGGGCTCCCGGTGACTTGAAGTTTGCAGTCACGGGCAGCATGTCCGGCTGTAGGCTGTTCTCGCGTGGGGCTGCGGCGGCGGCGGCGGCGGCGGCATCGGCGCGAGCTTCGCGGGTGCTGAGGGTCTTCACGGCTAGGCGCCGCCCGCTGCACACCAGTCTGCAGAGCTGCTCTTTCGCCAAGGAGCTTTTCCTGGGCAACATCGAGCAGGTAGGGCGAGTCCTGGCGTCCCCAGTTCTCTGCTTCCACCTTTCGTTGCCACCTGGCCGCAGTTGGATGAAACTTTAGCTCAGTCCTTAAAAGACGAACATCTGAGAGGCTGGGCTCAGGGAATTGTGGCTTAAATAGTGTCGCAGAGGTTTCTGTTTTGAGGCAGGGTCTCTCATAAAACGTTAGCCCACGCTGGCTCTGGACTTACTCCATAGACCAAGCTGACCTTGAATTCATGATTCCAGGACTGGACAAACACCAGTACTCAAAGCATTTCTGGGCCTTCATTAGGAGAGTGGCAGTGGTACTTTAGAGACTCAGGGGTGAGAGTTAAGCAGCCATCCATGCTAGCGGCTGCCATACTACACTTAGTTGGATCTGAAGCTTCCACAGGGTCAGGGGCGAGGTTCAGTGGGTGAGGTTTGTGTGACATAGACTTCATTACAGCCACATGGCTTTTGTAATTGACTTCTGCAGTAGGATTTCTTGAATAACAGGTTCTGTTGCTTTATCAACTTGAGAGATGCTAATTGAAATTAAGCTCCTCTCCCGTGGTGTGCCTCTTTCAGGTTTTGTCTCTTTTGACTAGAGGATGCTTCCTTCTAGCTCCCAGGTTTTATGTTGTTTGTTTTGGTTTTGTTGGGGGTTTCTGTTTTGTTTTGGGAAGATTTATTTGTATTTTTTGTTGTTGGTTTTTGAGACAGGGTCTTGGTGTGTAGCCTTGGCTGGCCCGGAACTTGCTATGAGGACCACGAATTCACAGGAGTCCACCTTCTTCTGCCTTTCAAGTGGTGGGATTAAGGGTGTGCATCACTGTGCCTGGGCCCCTGAAGTTTCTACCTTTAATTATGTCTGAATACCAGCGCCTTGCCAGGTTGTTTGCTCTTGCCTAGTTTGCCCACTGGGATCAGGATCACCTTCCTCTCACACAGCCATTTGACCAAGACTAGGTGAGCAATGAGGTTGTGAAGGTGATGGAGTTGGGGTCGTTCGAGCCTCAGCTCTCCACAAAAGTGTCAGCCTTGTTCCAAGAGGCCCAGAATGGTGAGAGGAGTCATGTTTCTCTTTTAGTCTGCCTTGGCATTGGAATCCTGGTGCATAGCAGCATATTCCTTTAAGTCAGCTGTCTCTTCTGAATAGAGACCATGAGCCTCTTGTTCTTGGGCGTGCAAGGAGCAAATAAGTTCTGGAATATTGCTAATGTGGAGGAGTCAGTAAAGTGCGTAATAGGACATAGGACAGGGGAAATTGAGGGCTCCCCTGTGATGAGAGGCGACAAGGAGATAGGGGAATTCCCAAGCCTGGAAACTTGGAATTTGTCCCTGTTTTACAGCTATGTGTCCAAACATGCCACCCCATACCAAGCAAATATAGGGTGCCTAGAGCTTAGATGGTCACAGATCCGCGAGCCGTATGAGGTGATTTCAAATGCCAGCAGGAGATCCTGGCTAATTGGCCACTAGCGATTAGAAGCCACGTTATTCTCGAGGAAAAGAGAGTGGACACAAGAAGAGCTAGAATCTCACACATAGTTACTTCCTGTTCCAGGACTAAACTATGTCCTTTCTGACCTGCAAGCTACTTTCTTTGATGAACAGGATTGGAAACCAAACTAATAGAGGACATATAACCTGCTCAGATCCAGTCACACATGTAAGAGTGGCTGAGCTCAGGTTGAGTTCTTGTCCTATGACCCTGTTACCTCACATGCCTGGCATAAGGTAAGAAATTAGCTGCTCAACGTGGGGCACAAGTGATGATTAGATATGTTCCTGTTGTTGGGAGCATTTGAGCTCTCATAAAGACTGATGTCCATTTTAATGAAGAATCTCCATATCCATTGTCTCCTACACATCTCAAAGGAACCTTGAGGAAATATGACTTGCATAGTGCGGTGACAAAATGGAAATACTGCTGGAATTTGAGGGCCTCAAAATTACTAAATAGCAGGAGATCTAAATGTAATCACAGGCTTTTTGTTTATGGGACACTCTCCACCACTTGTTATCGATGAGGAAACTGTTGAAGATTAGGGTTCAACCCACCTGCCTGGGGAGGAAAATATGTACAAAGAGTCTTAGATGTAAGGCCCATACCTGAAATAGCTTGTGAAGCCATCTTTCTGCATTCTTCCTGAGACCAGATGTGGAATGCAACAGTTTTCCTCTTTCCTTTTTGATAAATCTTACAACCAGAAGTAGCTGAAAATTAAATTTGTCATTTGTGTTTTTCATTTTTAGAAAGGAGTTTTCCCATTTCCAGAGGTTAGTCAAGATGAACTTAGTGAAATCAATCAGTTTGTGGGACCACTGGAAAGATTCTTCACTGATGAAGGTATATGTGGCTCTCTTTTTCGTTGCCCTCTTCTGTTACAGGATTAAGTGGATTGCTTACATCTGCTTAGTTAAAGACACTAATCCAGGTCTCCTCTAGGTCTCTGTGGTAAGGAACTTCTTTTAAATGTTCCTGCACTTCAGCAGGCTAAAACTTCTGTAAGTCATGCTAAAGTGAGGAACTAGAAAAGATGAAAATAGCTGAGAGCAGGTAGTTCAAATTTGTTATCACAAAGGCTGTATAAGATAATGTATTTAAAAAAAAAGATAACGTGCATGTTTCTAAGGCTAAGTCTAGATCTTTGTACTGGGTGTTTTAGGAACCATTCATGATCTGTGGTCCAGCATTTTCGCAGGGACTGTATGCTCTTCTGGTTTCTTCCTGAAGAAGTAACATCTTGGATAACTCATCTAACATCACAAACAGGATATTGCTATCAGTGCAAGTCAGCTGACCTCACTCAGAGGTCACAAAGCTCAGCGTCATGTACCGGTGCATACATGTGTGTGTTCTCATACAGTGCTGCTGTGTGTGTACAGTCATGAACATACAGATGCAGTTAGATAGTGAGGATTCCCATGCTATCTTTTTGTGTTTAGATTTTACTAGATTCTATGACACCCTGAAAAATTTCATTTTTTTCGCCATTTTTCTAGTATGGGGTTGGTGTTGGACGGGGTTGTTTTGGAGACAAAAATCTCAGTCTTCTTTTCTGTTCTGTTCTTTCCTTGTTTCTTTGAGACAGGGTCTCTGTGTAATAGCCATGGCTGTCCAGGAACTCATGTACATGAGGCTGGCCTTGAGCTCACAGAGGTCCACCTGCTTCTGCCTCTTAAGCACTAGAATTAAAGGCGTGCCTCAACATGCCCAGCCAGGATCTCACTTTAGAACCCTGGCTGATCTTGAACCTTCTGCCTTAGCATTCCAAGTGCTAGAATTACAGATGAGTGCCACCATACCCAGCTAAGAATGTTTATTGTTGGAACTATCGCATTTGTAAGTAATTGTTCTTCCGTTTTTTATTTACATATTTATTCTTGAGACAGTCTTAATATATAGCCCTAGTTGGCCTAGAATTTTCTGTGTAGACCAGTTGGCCTTAAACTCACAGAAATCTGTTTGCCTCTGCCTCCTTCTGGGAGTAAAGGTATTTGCCACCGTGCTTCGCCATGTACAAGGTTTAAGTTGGTTCACTTTATATGGCATGATTCAGGGTGTGTTAATACATTCTTTCCAGATATTGCTTATAGCATTTCATGGCAAACATGTACCAGCTTGTTGAGCACACATTATAGTGTACTGAATTATTTACAGTTTAAAGGTACTTAGAAAACTGGTTGTTTTGTGACTCTGTGTTTTCATTTCTCTTGCATAAATGCCTAGGCATTTCACTGATGTTGTTTGTTTAGTTTTCTACAAAAGTACTATGTTTAAAATCCTCTGCCATTTTGCATTCTTATTAGCAACAAATGAGATCTGTTTTTTTTTTCTACCTTCTTTTTCACCTGGATTTGGATTTTATTTTAGCCTGACAATTTTCATTTAGTATCACATTTATGTTAATCAATTACCCTCAAGGGCTAATAATGTTAAAATGTTTTTATATTTTTTTCTCCTTTTTTATTTCCTGTTAATGTAATTGGTTTTTGCTGTAGATTCTGTATCTAGCCCCCAAGGGAAAGGAGATAAAATATGCTCTTTCATGTCATACTTGCCATAATCTGCTTCCTCCAACTAGGCCCACCTTTCACTTTTCATGGCTTCCTAATGAGTAAACTCATTTATAAGCTTAACTGCATTAAACTCAATAGTTTTAGAAGCTATTTTAGAAGGATTTTGTGGAGTTTTCTGTGGGTGATTGTGTTGATGATGAGCAGTTTTCTTCCTTTCCAGCCTGGATGGAGTGCTTCTCTGTGCTTGATTGCACTGGCCAGACTCGGCGTTATGATGCTGAGCAGGTGGCAAGACCAGGCTTCCTTGTCTTCTTCCTTATTACACAGACATGGTGGCACACACCAGTGATCTCTAGCTCTTGAAGGACTGAGATTTTTGATAGATTTGGATTATATTTGGGAACATATAGTTCTCTTTATTGACTTGTATATGCATAAGTATATGTTATGACATTTTCAACAGTTTATAATAATAGCGATGTTGTTTAATTTCATAGCCAAAGTATACTTTAATTAACCTGATGCATACAAGCAATACAATTAAAGACCTAGAGCTCATGATTGTTCACTTTAACCCTTGTATGAGGGGTTTTCCTATTGCTTTTATTGTATGTGTTTATGTGTGTGTTCATATTTTCATATATGTGTGCCACGGCATGTTTGAGGAGCTCAGAACATACCTTGTATAAATCAGCTCTCTCCTACCACGTAGGTCCCAGGTATCATATTCAGGTTGTAAGCCTTGACAGAAAATGCCTTTACTCACGGAGCTAACTCTCAAGCCCTAGAATGACGTTAGAGCCAGTGACTGAGTCAGCGTTACACAGAGTAAGGTGTTCTCAGAACCTGTGCACTCTAGTATAGGCAGTGAGGCTTCTGATAGAACACTGGGTAGAACGAGGCCCAGCCACAGCCTGCACAGTGCTGTCTGTGCTGACCCATTACAATTCTGAAAGCTATGTACTTACTCTGTAGTGTTTGAGAAGGTACCAGTAATTGATTTAAAGGTCCAGGAGAGTGTGTATTACTTGCTTCTCTCATCACTGTGACAACATTGTCTGTAAGGAGCACCTTCGTGAAGACGGGTTGTGTTGGCTCATGTTTTGAAACCGTAGTTGGTGGAGGGGAAAGTCTGCTGACAGAAGCAGATCTTAGTTGTGACGCCTCACTTCTCACACCCAGACAGAACCAGGACAGACGGTGTTGAGCTGGTGCTCAGCTCCTCTTCTCTTTTAACCATAGGAACCTGGTCTGCAGCCTATGGAATGGGGCAGCCCACATTTGGGAAGGCTCTCCCCTTCTCAGAAATTCCCTCAGAGGCACACCCAGAGGTTTGATTCCTATATCATTCCAAATGCAGTTGACAAATAAGGTGAACCATCGTGTATGCCCCCAGGAATCTGTATCTGAGGAGAACATGACACACTACTGATTTACATGACCCTGGTGACTAGCACCTAGGTTAGGAAAAAGACTTGGCACCAGTCACCTGAAAATACAGTTCTTACATGCCCAGTTGCACAAAATCAACAACATGCTCAGTGATCCTGACTAGATAACTTCAGGTTTTATACATTTTTTTTTTTTTTTTTTGCCACTGGTATTAGTACACTATGTGAAAACCATTCTGTATAATTTTATTTATATGAATATATCTTATTTATTTTTTCTTGCTTAATCAGGATATTTGCTTTTTTCAGTGGACTCTCGAAAAATTGACCGGGAGGGAAAAATCCCAGTTGACACCTTAGAGAAATTGAAGAGCCTGGGACTTTTTGGGATACAGGTCCCAGAAGAATATGGTAAGTAAGAACATGGCTGCTCACCTGGTGATCTTTCTCTTCAGCAGGTGCTTCTCATGTGTGCATAAAGGGCTTGTTCAGAAACAGAAGCCTTTAAGTGTACTCTTCCGTGCTCTGAAGTGCCAAATGATCTATAAAGCTGTGTTTCTACAGCCTTCACCTGCCTGAGCTGTGGACATTTGCCAGGGCAGCCTCTATCTGTGTCCAGCTCAAAGGTTCTTGAGATGTAGGGAGAGTACAGTTGGTAACACTTTTCAGGGTTGGACAGATTGCATGTCTGTGAGCTGCTCATTTGCAGATGTGCTATTTGGGCATTTCCCCACCACACCCAATGATATTATTACTGTAGCAAATGGGGGATTTTCTTGTTCTTTTATTCCTTACCTGTTTGTATCTTTAGATATTTAAAGTGTAGCCTCCCTTCTACAGCAGAAGGTGGCTCCCAGGAATGCAGAATAAGTCCATAGCGGAACCAGAGCTGGAGCTGGTCCAAGCTGAGACATAGCTGAAAAACACACTGTGGTGCACAGGGTAGCTTGCACAGCAGAAAAAGAACAGTCTGTCACAAGTGTTCCTGTGCCACAGCCTAAGAGCCTTGACTGGTGCCATCTGGATTGCAAATGTCTTTCTGGTAGAGGGGATTGCAGCATAGTCAGTGACTTCCTGTTTGCGTATTATGTCTATATTAGCAATTCAGTTTCGTGTATGTTTCTTTACCTCAAAGAAATCTGGAAGATATACACAGAAATGCCCTGGATAAGATCATAGATGATAGTTTCATGTTTTTAAAATTTCTTAAATGGTATTTGCTGTTATTTTAAAATTAGAAAAATAAAGTAAATCACTTTTCCCCAGTTGGAAGAATCTGCTAGACTTGTCTGTCTGTCCTAGGTGGCCTGGGCCTCTCTAACACTATGTATGCTCGGCTTGGGGAGATCATCAGCATGGATGGCTCTATCACGGTGACCCTAGCAGCACACCAGGCTATTGGCCTCAAGGTTAGCTGTCTCAGGTTATATTTGGGCTTTCTGGAGGAAGTAGGAGATGGGACTGTTTCTGTGACAGAAATGGGCTTTATAGCTCGGGGTCAAGGGGAGATGCCTAGCTGCACTTGCACTTTGGGAATGAATCCTTTCCTGAGCTGTCCTGTCTTTACATATACCTTACCTGCCCCCTCAACTTAAAGCATGATGGGGCAGCTTTAAAGACACACAGTCCTCAAGGATTTCACAATAGTTGGATACATCTCTGCTGTATACAGGTGAAAGGCAGTTAAATGGACTCCATGTCCAGCTTTGCAGCCCAAGATTAGGTAACCAGACTGCAGTTATTTAGCAACAGCTAAAATTTAGCACAGCTTTGAAAGGTGCATTTCCATGGTAGTTCTAGCACCCCATGTATTCACATTCCGTCATCCAAGTCACCCATCCCTACGGAAAAGGTCCTCAGCTTTTAAGTCACGAGGTGAAGACCCAGAGACAAGTCGTATCTGACCCACAGTCAGCCAGGAGTGCACTGCACTAGGCAGCAATGCAGTCCTAGATAGGAACTCGAGAGCTGCCATTGTGTCTGCCGCTGTGCATAAGTAGTTGGCCTTCCCTGGGCAAGCTGCACTCCTAAGTTGTGTCTGAGGCTGCTGCTCTGAGCTCACACTGTCTTCTCGGGAAGTAAATATTGTCAGCAATATTTGGGGCTGCCTCATAAATGCATCTCACTCTCATCTTCCTGTGATCTGTGTGTTTCATCTAGGGGATTATCTTGGTCGGCAATGAAGAACAGAAGGCCAAGTATCTGCCCAAACTGGCATCTGGAGAACACATCGCAGCCTTCTGCCTAACAGAGCCAGCCAGGTCTGTCTCCTCAAACTGTCATTTGGACATTCAGCATTGTCCAAGCTCCCTGATTAAAGAAACTCTTGATAAACCCTGGTAAAGCTCACATTCCCATGTTGAAACTTTAGTCTACATTGTTTCATTCCTTATCTCTGAGGCCTTCAGAGGATCTATAACCATTGACAGGATAATTATCTTATCTCTGACCCATTGAGACTTACAGATAACAGTCCTGAAGTATCTACTAACTCAGTGTTTGTGGTTCACGGGCCTCTTGACACCCAGGGATACACTCAGACTTCACTAAGTCTTTCAGAGCACGTGGGTGGGTGCTGAGTCCACATTTTCAGATTAGGAGCTGAGGCTCAGTGAAGTTGTAGCCTGTCCAAGGCCACACAACCAGGGCACAACAGGCATGGACAAGACTCAGATTCTGATGTAGGTCCAGCTGGCATCTTGCTTAAGCTTGTTTCTCTTTGTATGAAATTCTGGAGCAGGCTTCCTGCTGCTATGACCTGAACACATAGAAACTCTTGATAAGCCCTGTGAAGCGCACATTCCCATGTTGAAACTTTAGCCCACATTGTTTCATTACCGTGTTTTTATTTGTTATCTACACACACCTTACAGTCTTACTGGAATGTGCCCATCTGCTTCCAGACTCTGGCTATTTTCCTGTTTGGAGCATTAGAGTTAAAGTGAAACAGGCATGTTTTTTGTCTGACCCAGTATTTTAAAGGGCTGTCTTACTTCCAAGCCCTCCAGCTCATTCTACTCTTATCCCTGTTCTCCCTCAATCCCATCTTTCTGTCTTTGCAGTGGGAGTGATGCTGCGTCCATCCAGACTCGAGCTACATTAAGTGAAGATAAGAAGTACTTCATCATCAATGGCTCCAAGGTACGGCCGTGGCCTCACTGCCCTGCCAGCTCTAGTCGGTGCTTGCTGCCTCCGTGTCTGCCTTCTGCACACCGTGGGCTACTAGGTGTGTGCCAGTGTTTCTTTATCAGAACACCTAAGGCATGGCTGATTGGCTGGCCTATGTCCCTCAAGTGGCAGAGCCAGGGCCCTAGCAAGGCCGTCTGACTCCATAATCTTGTTGATTCTACTCTCAAAACTGCTTTTATGTATGTGTTTTCAACTCCAAAGAGGCAATGGATAGTGCACTGCTCTTCCGTGGCCCTGGCACCAGCTAGAGGAGCTACACACTCGTGGCTGGTAGTGTTTCTTCTGTTGGCATCACCACCTCTGGATGTTATCTTTGAGATTTGATCAAGATTGCTGAGAGAGAGAACACTGGAATACCATTAGCAAATGGGGGAAGGGATAATAATGTCTTCCTACCTGTTTAGCATTCAGATTTCCCTGTTCATCTCTTACCCTTTTCCCTTGATCAGTTTGTTTGCTTGGATCAAAATGTAGATAATTACCATACATTGCAATACTTTGAGGACCTTTTCCTCATCCCCCAATTTCACTTTTTTAAGTTGATAATTAAATACAGCATATGAAACTTGTACGTTAATGTTGTGAAGCAATGATAAAAAGTCCTTCTTCCTTTAAGTCTGTCGTTGGTGTGCTAATGAATGGGGCTGTCTGGTGCAAATGACACAGAGGCTGTGTTAGTATCATTAGCTAGACTACACTCCTGCCACTTGTTTCCTGAGAACATCTTTGCTCTGCAGAGACTAAGCTATGCTCCTGTGCTCTCTCACAGGCTTGGCTTATTTGGAGCATTCTCCATGTCCGACCTGATGTAGAACACTGTATGTCTGGCCTGAATAGAGCTGAGGGCTGTCGCCAAGGATCTTTTGTTTTTTTCCCTCAGGTTTGGATCACCAATGGCGGACTGGCCAATATTTTTACTGTGTTTGCAAAAACTGAGGTGGTTGATTCCGATGGTTCAATAAAAGACAAAATCACGGCTTTCATAGTAGAAAGAGACTTTGGTGGAATCACTAATGGGAAGCCTGAAGATAAATTAGGCATTCGAGGCTCCAACAGTAAGTGTGACAGATATGCATGTGCACGAAGGTATCAGAGAGACTTGAAAGAGACTGTGCAGTCTGACGGGCTGTGAAGGTGAAGTGGTGCTTAGTTGTTTGTGGTTTTAGTTCAGCACTTTAGCTCCTTAGGTACATTCAGTGTTGATTCAGGGAGTAAGGCCAGTTGAAATCCCAGCCTCAGTGGGAACAGGAATGCACACCACACAACCACAGCTGCTGTAGATAAACATCCTGTGGCAGTCCACCACATCTTTCTCGCCTGGAGTCCCCTTCTCTCCTTCTACTTGTTATTCCTTGTTCAAGCCTCACTTCAGTGGAGGCTGATAGCCTGTTTGTTGCTCTCAGTTCGCCCATATGGCCATGGTGTTCTTATTATACTAGCCTCATGGTGGAGTTTTAGAGTAGCCATCCTACAGCCGACTGTGTTCCACTCTTGACATATCAAGGTCCACATCGGTGTACCCTGTGTCTTTGGAGCTGAGCATTTCAGCAGTGTCATTCACCTGTGACAACTGGGGTCTGGTTTCCCAGCATCTTTCAGGACCCCAGAAGATGTTCTGGGAATATAAGATGAAGTCAGAGAAGAAGGCAGGTGCTCCCCATATTCAGTAGAATAGCCTTTGAAAGAATGGCCAGGTCCTCTAGCCAAAAGAATCTCATTGACTTTAATGTCTGATGAGATGCTGGTATTCTCCATTTGCTTTTCTGTCTTTGGCTATTTTGGTCTTTTCAGCTTTTGTTAAATTTCACCATAGAAAACTCTGGTATGGCCTTTCAAAAGAATGATAGCCTTCCTTCAGCTCCATTTCTCTCTGTCCTGTGCTCTTTATTTCTTCATAGCACTGACCATGCTCACGTGTTCTTGTATTTATGATTTGTCTTCCCTGCCAAAGAATGAATTCTGTGAAATCAGGAACTTGGCCTTTCTTGCCTGTTCTTTATCATAAGTGAGTGGATTAGTCAGTCAGTCACAGGCCTGTAGGTCAAGAACAGAAAAGTAGTTTGTATTTGTCAGTTACCATCTTTAAATTCTGTGTGTTTTAGCATGTGAAGTCCATTTTGAAAATACCAGAGTGCCTGTGGAAAATGTCCTTGGAGAGGTTGGAGGTGGCTTTAAGGTAAGTTGCAGGCCAGTCTCATGTAAGTGCTGTGCCATTTTACATGTGAGTCTCATGTTCTGCTCTATCCTTTCTTCTGGCAGGCTAGCCTGTGCTTTACCTGTGGTCTCATGTAGCTCCTTGCATACATTCCTGGCATAGGAAATCAGCAGCATGAAGGAAGGCTGGAGATTTGGCTTTCTCCTAAAGGAAGGAGTCTGGGTAGGATGATGAGGAGTCTTGATTCCCATTGGAGAACTCCATCTGGATTGAGGAATGGAGTTCCCCTCTCTGGCACGTGTGAAAAGCAGGCTAGTGGGCTTGAGAAGCTTAGGTTCCTAGAACCCATCAACTTGAGTCCTTGCCCTAATTCTCCTTATGATCAGATTTATATTTTAAAGATTTATTTTATTTCTCTGCGACAGTATAGAGTCTCATTATGTAGTTCTGACTGGCCTGGAACTCACTTTGTAGATGACACTAGCCAGAGTCCTACCTGCCTCTGCCCCTCACCCCCAGCCCTGGGATTAAAGGCATGTACACCCGTGTGTCTGCATTTATGTATGTGAATTGTATGTGAGCCTGGTATCTTCAAGAGGCCAGAAGAAGTCATCTGATCCTCTGGAACTGGAGTCACAGGCTGTTGTAAGCCCCCGTGTGGGTCCTCTGCAAGAGCAGCAAGTGGTCTTAGCTGCTGAGCCATCTCTCCAGCCCCAGATTTATATTTTATTGAGAAATAGTTTATGTGACATTTAGTTTATACACATTTCTATCAGTTTTAATATATTGTCTGTTGTGCCATCATCACTTCTAATTCCAGAAATGTTTCCAGTTTTATACCCATCCTTTGGCAACTGCTGTTTCTATTATTCTTCCCTGGGATTGTGGATGATAAGCATTTCATATGACTGGAATCCTATACAGTGTATTTTATGCCTGGCTGCTTTCACATCATATTCTCAAGCATCTTCATGTGGCAGCATGAGTCAGTATTTCATTCCTTTGAATGGATAAATGATCTACTGTGTGGGTAAACCACATCCTACTCATCTGCTCTTTAGGCTGAATTGTTGACAACTTTGGGGCTAGTGTCAGTAACACTGTTCTGATCTTTTGTCTTCAAGTTTTGTTTGAAAAATATGTTCTCAATCCCCATGAGTGTAGAATTGCTGGATATTTGAAGAGCTTTTTCCACAGTGGCTATAGTGTATGAGATATTCCACATCTTCACTTGTGTTGCTGTCCATTTTAAAAATTAAACCTGTGGCTTCACTCAGTTCTTCACTCAGCTCTCTGGTTGGAGGAAATCCCCTGTGACCCTAGATGAGGTAACACAGCATGGCACCAGAGCTGTGTGCCTGTTTGGCTCCCAGCCTTTCACTGTACTGAGTCAGAATAAAGGGTAAGAAAGACACAGGGACCTGGCAGAGCCATCAGGCATTGTCGTTGGCACCTGGCATCTGCCACTAGGGTCATCTGTGTATACAGGCTTGCCTGCCAGGTGTGTGCTGGCTGTTGTCCTGAGAAAGTTGTGACGCTGCTCTGAGCCACAGCTGCTTCTGTAAAAGTGGGTAGTGATCCTGAAGCCCGGCTGGAACATTCTTGCTGCTTGTGGCCTACTTAGATCAGTCGGGGTTTCTGTCTCTTTCCCAGAGACAAGGAGTACTGACAGGCGTGAGCTCACTCAAAGGATGAACAATGGCTGTGTGGTCAGAGTGAGGCCAATGATGTTGATGGAAAGGTACAGCAGTGACTAGCCACCTATTTTTGCGGGTTAGAACTGCTTGCTTCTGGCTTGAAAACAGGCAGGGTGATGAACTTGGCATGGATTCTGGCATGGGATTCTGTAGACATCTGCCTTTACTTTCATGAAAACAAGATGCTATGGCTGGCTCCCTCAGCCTCCTTCAGTGCCTCTGGACATTTTCCACCTTCCCTACAGGTAGCTATGAACATCCTCAACAGTGGGCGATTCAGCATGGGTAGTGCTGTGGCCGGGATGCTCAAGAAACTGATTGGTAGGTATATTGTTACTTAACTCATTGCTCTGACAAAATACGTTATAAAAACAGCTTTAGGAAGGGAGGATCGATTCTGGCTCCATCTTGGCAAGATGTGTCTAGAAAGCATCTCTAGGTTTGGCTGCTGGAGTGTTGAGTCAGTTGGTCACATTGTGTGTGAAGTCAGTAAGCACAAAGTATGAATGTTGGTGCTCCCATGGCTTTCCTCTTTTTTATTCTGTCTGGAACCCCAGCTTATTGGCTGATACTGCCCATATTCAGGGTGGCTTTTCCCTCCCCAGTTAAACATCTCTGGAAACTCCCTCACAAGCATGCCCAGAGCTATCTCCTGGTATCTAGATTCGAGATTCTAAAGCCAGTCAGGTTGACACTGAAGATTAATCTCCACCCTAGCTAAGTCAGGAGCAGGAGCCTTCCACAGCACCTGCCGCACACCAAGAATGTCTTCACGATTTCTGCTGGGTGGGCAAGTCTGAGCTAGACCACTTGGACAGAGAGCTTAAGTTTAGCATCTGGCCTTTGATTCAGACCAAATGTGTTCCTTCCCCAGAGGCTGTCTTATTTCCACACTCCTCTGCTTTACACACTAGTCGGGCATTCTTTCAGAGCGTAAAGGGTTGCCCTTTCCATGAATACATGGCTCTTTAATGAACTCCAGTCCATGAGCTGGGCACTAAGAAAACATTAGCCATGATCTCACTAGAGCCATGGCTCTTCGGGCATAGCTGTGAGCCGTGGAGTGCTGGAAGCAGAAACGACCCTGTGTGTTTTGATGGTTAGAGTTTACAATAATGTAGGCACATGTTTGCATTCTTCCCTCTATGTGGTTAGTGGAGAAACTGAGGCCTAGAGAGGGTGGTGGTTTCCACAAGCCCATGCATCATGACCTAAAGGCAAACCTGCCTGCTAGGGTCAGCTGCTTTCAACATGCTCTGTAGATCTCATCAGTGAAAGTTCTCACAGTCTAGAAATGTGGGTGTAGGAACAGTTCGAGACCAGCAGCACCTGGATTGCACCAGAGGAAGTATTTGGAAAACAAATTGCAGGCAGAGCTAGAGGTGCTGGTGCAGGGTAGAAGGCTGAGTGTCCCTGTGGGGCTCTTAGAACTGGCACTGTCAACAGCCATGCACAATGAGGCCCCAGCCAGAGCTCTGACATGAAGGCACCGCTGATGCTGTGTTGAGTATCTCTGAGCCCCCTCCCACGTCTTTCTAGGATGCCCTGTGCACCTGGCTTAGTGCTGGATGGCTTCCAGCCTTCACCTCTTTGTATCTTCCCCGCATTCCTGCATGTTGGATAGAAGGGAGGTAGAGTGTTCTCCTCCACACCCTCACAACTGACTCAGCATTCTGTGTTGTTAACTTTCTCTGCTGCCCAATGAGGACAGAGAATGCACATCCAACCAGCTGCCAGGAAGTGGGAACTCTGGTTTCAGGGTGTCTGACCTCAGTGACAAAGCTCTCACAGTACCTTCTGGGTGTTGAAGGGTCATCATGTTGACCTTAGGGAATAGTTTTCCAGTAATCAGAAAACCAGTTATGTTTGTTTTGACAAATGTATTCTTCTTTAGAACTGACTGCGGAATATGCCTGTACGAGGAAACAGTTCAATAGGAATCTGAGTGAATTTGGTTTGATTCAGGTACTGAAGACTCTCTGATTTACTGTGGATGGGGGGCGGTTTTCAGTTGCTGTCTCTTACTGTGCCTGTGGGCAGGGACTAGGAAGAAAACTGTACAAGGCATTATTGACGCTGGGACAGCAAGGCTTCTGATGCAGTTTGCTTCTCAGGAGGAGAGAGGGTAGGAGATTTGAGTCTGTGAACATGCAGATCGCTTCTTGATTTGGTTTTTCTGAACATTTCAGGAAAAGTTTGCGCTAATGGCTCAGAAGGCATATGTAATGGAGAGTATGGCTTACCTCACCGCAGGGATGCTGGACCAACCAGGATTCCCCGACTGCTCAATTGAGGCCGCCATGGTGAAGGTAATTCCAGCAAGTTGAGCTAGCTAGAGGGAGGTGAGCCTTTCTGATCACGGCATTGTCAGACATCTTCCTCCTCTTGTTAGATGTTAGAACTTGACCTTATGATTTGCCCCTGTGTAGATGTCTGCATTAGGGCCCAGGGTGAAGCTGGGAGAGGGGACTTAGAGCAGTGCTCACCTGAATGTGAGTCTGTGGGACAACTCACTGCTTCCCAGGATAGAGGCATGACAAGTCATGCTGGGCCTGGAGCACACAGACTGGTCACTGGTCCAGAAAGACAAAGGGACTTGCCTCTACTTATCTGAAAGTTCCTCCTGATACCACTCATTCCAAGTTCTGGTTTTCCTCACGTTCTCTAACTGCATCCTGGGCAAACACTCCTTACAGCCCAGGTCTTGCTCCTAGGAAACGCAAGGGAGTGACTTGGTGGTCGAGCACTCCCATCGGGCTTTAACCTCGCCTGTGTCTGTGGCAGGTGTTTAGCTCCGAGGCTGCCTGGCAGTGTGTGAGTGAGGCTCTGCAGATCCTCGGGGGCTCAGGCTACATGAAGGACTACCCCTATGAGAGGATGCTGCGTGACGCCCGCATTCTCCTAATCTTTGAGGTGAGCGTGCCTTCTGGCTGTACTTCCCTGCGCCCCCATAGTGATGGCCTGTGCTTCCCCCAGCCTCCCTCGCCCTGAGAGACACTTCTAACTGTCCAGAAATGGCCTACAACGATGTAGGCTGGTTATGTTCTCTGGTTGGACCCTGTTAGTAATATGCAAGTGCCTCCACCCCTCCTTGCTTTGCAGAGGGAGTTTGGGCTGAAAACACAAACAGTCCCCTCAAATCCTACTCCTGAAGGCCATATTCACTGAGCCCACAGCTTCCCAATGACAGCTGTAGTTTTGCCAAGTGCTGGCTGGGCACGATTGGACAAATCTATGGGAGACCCAGGTCAAGTCTCAGCTCCCACTTTGCTTTCATCTCATACTCTAGGTTATGATTTTACTTTCAGTAAACTGAAGTAGTCCAAGGAAGGTTTACTTACCTTTCTTGTTTTCTTATTGTTGCCTTCCATGAGTTTATAAACCTACAGGGTCCAGTTGAGTTAACTATACCACGGAAGAGGGGATTTGGACCAGACATACTTGGGAGGCCATGGTGTGATGACATGTAGGGCCTGACTGCCAGAAGGATGCTGACACACAGAAAGCATAAAAGACGGGAATATTCCCAAAGGGAGTGTGTGTCTCGTGATGACTTGATGACCCTTTGCAGAAGAACTGCCTTGGGAAAGGGCTATGTGTGACAGGTGGACAAATGGCATATACCGGACCCAGACAGGACTTGGGGTTAGCACTAGGTAAACAAGGAATAAGGAAGTCTTTGTGGATACATCAGTCATCCTGCTCTTGATGTGCATAAGGCAGTAAAACAGGACACGGAGTTGGAACATGGAGGCTGACAGAAAAGGATCTGAGCCTTGGATGACCTTGACCAGCACAGGGACTTTGGAAGCCCTAGGACATTTGTGATTAACTTGGTTGTGGAATGCTCCCACCAGGAGGTAGGAACAAGCAAGATGGATAGGTCTTCGCAGTGTCACGGTGGCCATGAGAGTCTGACACTTACACAGAGAGAGGGTTTGAGTTGCACTGTAATCTCACAATGGCAGAACCTTAGACTCTTGTCAGCACTAATGGAAGCACTGCTCTTTTGGCCCTAGCCAACATCTCTGCCTTATCAATCAACCACTACCTAATAACAGAAGGGTTAGCTCCCTCAAGAGCCAGACATGTCTAAGTTGTTTTGTCCAGGGGCTACTCTCTATTGGTATTTCTGCAGGGAGAGGCCTGCATTTCTCTAGATCCTGGCTAGGTGGTGTGGTCAAGCAGGGTTTGCTCTCAAGGCCATAATTTGCAGAAGGGTGGGGAAGTTATTTGGGGCAGACTTTGTTGAGAGCTGGGGCAATACCACATTAACCTCCCTGCCTAGCTTTTTCTCCTAGGGGAGCTTCTCTCTCCTTGATGCTACAGGATTGTGCTGGCTGGGAAGCCTGGGTCAGGGACCGACAGATCCCTGATATATAGTACAGTTGTGGTAGAGGCCTAGTAGTCTTGTGGGTACTGTTTTGGCATGGAGAAGTGTGAGCGTGTGCGTGCACACACATGTGAGAGAGAGTGTGTGTATGATCAGTCCCCTGAGGAGCTTCCAGCTACTGCTGCTCAGCTATCTATAGCTTCCCCGAGGATTCTGATCTAAAAGAGCCATGGGTTATCTGTTCCACATTTTCTGTGTCCTGGGAAATCTGGTTCCAGTTTTAATGAGGATTGTGGAACCTAGAGAAAGGCATAACCATACAGGACAAGCAATGAGAGATAAAAGTCCCAGTGGGAGGCCATACTGATCAGTCTTACCACATTCCCTGTGTGTTCCCTAACACCTGGCCACAGCCTGCTGCTGTGCCTAGCTCCCGAGCTGCTTCAATGGCAGCCTCTACCACGTGGACAGTGGGTAGTGTCTGTACCTGACCAGTCACAGGTTGCACTGTTGGGCTGCTTTTGACCTTCACACTTCTGGCCACAGGGAACCAATGAGATTCTTCGGTTGTTCATTGCCCTGACAGGCCTGCAGCATGCTGGACGCATCCTGACATCAAGAATCAAGTATGTGCTATTTTCCCATCTGTTCCGTGGTTCCTACCTGTCAGGATGGGACAGAGGAAAAGGCTGCCCAGTCTTGGAACAGTGGGTGGGGAGTACAGCCTGCACAGTGGTTCACTGCAAAGCTGCCACAAAGAAGGACAGTAGCATTGTGTCACAGTGATGAGGTCCGGAGACCCACATCTCTAGCTTGCCCCTCACCTGGAAACAGCAGGTCTTTAGAGTCGTGTTGTCCCCTACTCACACTTGTTCTGTTTTCTTCTTCCCCTGCTAACTCTAATCTCCCACACTGGAGGTACCAGTGCTTGGAAATGTTCACAGCTGGCTGGGCTACTGAGACACCCAGGAGCTAAGAAATAAGGGGTGCTCCATTAATGGTGGCCAGTCTGAGACTAGTTTCTCTTCTTTGCCCCTCTTTCTCTCCGCTGCCCTCATTGCAGGGCAGAGCAGCTAAATCCTTGCTGGAGCCATTACAGGCTGCTAATAGGATTTTGCAGACTCTTTAACTGTTTGGAAGCTGGCCGTCCAACTGGCTTCCCCCTGCAAGGAGGAGAAAGCCACCCCGCACAGAGCCCACATGCTCAGCCATAGGCGAGCATGAGCTCTGTGGTGCCATACTGCTTGTCAGTGGGAACCAGCTGTAGGGTCTTAAGTCACAAAACTGTGAACTTCCTGCAGAGAGCTTAAAAGCGGCAATGTGATCACGATCTTTGAGACAATTGGTCGGAAGCTTCGGGACTCACTGGGCCGAACTGTGGACCTGGGGCTATCAGGCGATCTCGTACACCCCAGTCTTGGAGTAAGTATTCCCACTGCCTGTACATTCCCACAGGAATTCCCAATCCAGAAGAGTGTGACTAGCATGTAGGCTCCTCCAGGAAGCTGGGAACACTCAGATGCCCCTCTCTGTCCTTGCTCTATCTCTGTGGAACCCTAGACTGAACATTAGGTGGGTCAAGTGGAACCCTCAAGGAGAAGAGAGACTAAGTCTGTCTTCTTCACTATAGGACAGTGCCAGCAAGCTTGAGGAAAATGTGTATTACTTTGGCCGAACTGTTGAAACCCTATTACTCCGATTTGGAAAGGTGAGTGGGTCCTGCCAGGTGTGGGACACCGCCTCCCCTACACACAGCCCCCATGATCAGGAGCCATGGCGCTACTTGGTGCCTGTTGCCCACCTATGAGACCAGGCCTAGAACAGAAATCTTGGTCTCCATAGGGCTGGAACTGCTGCCAGTGCAGCCCCTGGAGGCCCCTGCTAGTGGATTATTCACAGTCCTCAGCACCTTCCAGCCAGAGAGTGGCTCTCTGGAGTCCCTGGAGGGGCTGCCTACCTGGGGCTGCATGCCAGGAGTTAATCTCTGAGGGGAGTCTTGCTGCAGTGACACTGAGCAAAACAAGCAGCAGTCTCTGGTGTCAGACAAGTGTCTGAGACCTAGAGAGGGGCATCATTGCTCACCGAACCTCTGTCCTCAGACCATCGTAGAGGAACAGCTGGTTTTGAAGAGGGTAGCCAACATCCTCATCAACCTGTATGCCATGACAGCTGTGCTGTCTCGGGCCAGTCGCTCGATCCGAATTGGGCTCCGGAATCATGATCACGAGGTAAGCCTTACACAGCTCTACACAGCAAAGACTGGACAGATCCATAGTGAATTGGTGTCAGGGTCACAGCTACAGGTGCAGCCCTTAATCCCACTGTGCTTTAATGGGACCTGGAACCGAGGAGAAATTGGTGGTGTGGCCTATTGGAGAGTCTCGTACAAGAGAGACAGTGAGTCAGGGTCTCCTGCACCAAGTGGTGGCTACAGAGAAGGGTAGATGAGTTTGCTGTGGGTGTGTCAGTGCTGCTCCTAAGCCATGGCTAGTGCTTTAGTCTCATACAGGAGACAGATGGGTGAGTGGCAGGCCCACCCTCAGTCATTACCTGCACAGCGCTCTCCTCACCCTGCAGGAGAAAGCAGACTTAGTCACTAGCAACTCCTGTGTACCAGGCTCTTGACACACGTCATTCCAGAGAAGCCCGTGGGTGCACACTTCACAGAGAAATAGCTGTCTAAGCTCCTTGTTAGCCTGCATTCATTCTGTCAGAGTACTGTGTAACTTCTGAGCCAGGCTTTTTTTGCCCAAGATGTGATGCCCTGTATGGCAGTAGGCTGGGTTTCTTAGAGTTCAGAGGTCAACTTCAGAGCTCTCAGGTGCCATTCTTTTTTACCTTGATTCTCTAGGTTCTTTTGGCCAACATGTTCTGTGTGGAGGCTTATTTCCAGAATCTCTTGAGCCTGTCTCAGCTGGACAAGTGTAAGTGAGATGCCGTGTGAGGAAGCGTGCACCCAGGTCCAGTCACCAGTGATTGTGAGCTGCTGCTGCTGCTGCAGCCTCATTTCCTCTCACAGCTGCTGCCAGGAAGGAGGGTTGGGCGCACAGCACAGGGCTTGCAGATCAAGTTCAGCTGGTAGACTGCGGCCTCCTATATGGGAGATGCTAGTGCCTGTTAAGCTGAGGTCCCAGAAGAAGACAATCATTGTACCTGTCTCTTTAGCAGACTGGCCAAAATGGCTTATGGAACTGCAGTATGCTGTATTGGTGATGAAATGGCTTCTGCAAATCTTTGGCCCTGGAAAACATGCTCCTTTAGGCCAGCTTTTCTATCTGAAATGCTTTTCTTTTTTTTTTTTTTTTTTTTTTTTTTTGCTTTGATTTTTGAGGAAGGGTTTCTCTGTGTAGCCTTGGCTGTCCTGAACTCTTTTTGTAGACCAGGCTGGCCTAGAACTCACAGATCTGCCTGCTTCTGCCTTACCAAGTGCTGGGATTGCAGATGTGTGCCACCACGCCCGGCTCTGAAACACTTTTCCTCTGTTTGTCCATGTTTTGAAATATAACCAGGTTCTCTTTGACATGACAGTCTGAAGAGCCTTAGCCCTGTTGTCTGTTATGGTGCAGAGGGCCCTTACTGAAGATTTAATAATAGCCTGCAGCTGTGGAACCCAGCCCAGGCTCCCTACATGGCCTGCAGAACTGTGATATACTGTGGAAGGTAGTGAAATGGTCTCTCTAGGAGCCTGTGACGGCCTTTGTACTTAGACCCTGGGGGGTCTAAAAAGTATATTTGGGTACAGTTTCCCATTGGAGAACTGACATAGGTGACTACACACTCCTTGGACCATATTGCAAAAGTATTACCTATGCCTTTCTCCTCTCACAGATGCTCCAGAAAACCTGGATGATCAGATTAAGAAAGTGTCTCAGCAGATTCTTGAGAAGCGAGCCTACATCTGTGCCCATCCTCTAGACAGGACGTCCTGAAGCTGGAACTGTGTACCCGTACCTATCTAGCTCAGGTTAACATAAGTCAGTCTCTTCAGAAGATAAACCATGGGGTCATCTGTGTGGACTGTATGTCATTTGTATGCACTAAGCAGTTTTCTTCTCTGTGAAAGAGCAATAGTTAGGTTTTTACCTGTAGGCTCTGCATCTAAAGAGAACACATCTTCTAGAAGGAAAGAAGGAAGGAAGGAAGGAAGGAAGGAAGGAAGGAAGGAAGGAAGGAAGGAAGGAAGGAAGGAAGGAAGGAAGGAAGGGAAGAAAAGGACAAAATTGTTGAAGAAAGAAGAAGAAGGAACCAAGTTGCTGATGGCTCTTGTGTGTGGCTACAGTGACACATCTCAGTGGAAATGGGCCCACCTCCATGACACAAGCTCCCGGGGACCTAAGATGTAGGCAGCCATCCTGCTAAACCATATGCTGAAGAAGAACCTGAGAAGCTGGTCTATACCACCTGCTGAAACTGTTGACATAACAAAAACCATAAACCGTCACAGTTTATATCCAATTTAAATTTCATGTTCTTTCAGTCCATAATCATGAGGGGTCTTAACAATAAAATTCCTTCTTGAGTGTTTTAAAGCTTGCATTGCAGAGCTCTTTCATTTCCTTTGTTAGGATCATTCCAGGGGGTTGGTTGGGTGTTCTCTTTTAATAGAATGTTATTTGTTTATTCTTTGATATTTCTGTACATGTAATAATGTATCTTGGCCCTTCTACTCCTCCCTTCTGTTCCTTCTGCCATCCCCAACACGCTCACCTCCCTCACTGAGTCCATCAGTGCTGCATGGCAATGTGTGTTGGCTTGCTCTTGTGCATAGATTCTTTCCGCCCTCTCTTAAGCAGCACCCTCTGAGCTGTGGTGGGTGGTTGATGTGGATGTCCCATTGAGAGCCGAGTATGCAGTAGTCCTTATTCTACTTAGCTCCACAGTCCTCCATGTTGAACACTCAAATCCAAAAATAACAAGTGTTGCTTGCCATTTTGTTGACTTTGTAGTGTTTTGTTTTTGTTTCTTCCTCTCATTCGTAGTATTAGTGTAGTATGGTTTATTCTTTCCTGGGGTTGTTTTTCCTCTTCAGCCTCAAGTATTCCTTCAAGCATCTTCTGTAGAGCTTTCCTGTGCTCGTAAAATCTTTTAATCTATTTATATCAAGGAATTTTTAAAATTTTCCTTTAATTATGTCATAGTTTTGCTAGGTGTAGAATGCTGGGTTGGTGATTATTATCCTTAGGTATTTAAAAATACACTATTCCAAGATTATCTGGCTTTTAAATTTTCTGTTGAACAATCTGGTGTTATTCTGATGGGCCTGCCTTTATATTTGTCTTGGAGGGTTTTTGTTTGTTTGTTTTCATTTTTGTTTGCCACTTTATTTCTTTGTTCTGTACATTTAGTGTTTTGTTATAATGTGACAGGAGATTATTTTCTGGTGTCCAGGCATATGCTTCCTTTGAAAATGTTTCTGTGCTTTTAGAATCAGATCCTTTTCCCATGCCTATAACTGTTGCTGAGGCTTTCCACAGAGTTTTTTCTTTGGCTTACTCTATTTTTTAGTCTCTAGCATTTCATTTTAGTTCCTCTTTAATGTTTATGTCCTTCTCCACTTTCCCTCTCATCTTATCCATCACCTTCCTTATTTCACTCAGCTGTTTGTGCTGTGAGTATAACTTCCTTGTCAGGGATTTCATTTGACTCATTCTTACTAGATGACCCTGTTGCAGGGTTAGTAACTTTTGGAGGAGTTATGTTGTCTTGTTTTTCATGTTTCTTATGCTACTGTTTGGGATTTCTACATGCTTCTTGGTTGACTTACATGTTTATTAGATATGTTCTCTCAGTTGAAGTATGTGCGGTGGGCAAGAGAGACTTCAATATGGGAGTACTGTATAGTTTAGAAAATAGTATCCCAGACCTAGAGCTTGGAGTGCCTGGTATAAGCTCTCTGTAAGCTCTGAGTAGAATATTAACTGTAAAATCAGCCACAGCAGTTTGATGTTCCCACTGTGCAGCTGTAATGCTGTCTAATAACAGTGGCCCCTTTGACTTCAGCAGTAGTGGGAGAATAAACAGTCAAGGATGATATGATGTCTACTCATAAGATTAGGAGTGGAAAGAAGTAGAGTGGATTAGATAGGGCCAAGGGGCTGGAAAGATAACTCAGTGGTTAAGGGTGTTCATTGCTCTTGGAGAGGACCAGAATTCAATTCCCAGTACCCATGTCAGTTGGCTCACAACTATCTATAACTCCAGATCTAGAAAGCATGCTCTAGCCTCATTGGACACCTGCATTCTCATGCCTGAACTCATAAACACACATATTTGCATAGTTAAAAATAGAAGCTAAAAAAATAAGGATAAAAATATTAGATCCACTTTGAAAAGAAAAGAAAAATGAAGCAGATAAAGTAACCAGGAAGGAGAAGTTGGAATATCATTAGGGCCCACAGATTATATCAGAGATTGTTAAAGCTGTAGAAGGTTATTATTAAGAAGTAGACCTAGAAAGATAACTCGGTGGCTAAGAGCACATACTATATGTGCAGAGGACCCAAGTTCAATTCCCAGCATGCACGCCAGACTGCCTTAGCTCCAAGGAATCCAACACCTCTGGTCTTCACAGGCATCTGCACAGCCACACACATAATTTATGGTCCCTAATTATGGTGGCACATACCTTTAATCTCAGCACTTGGGAGGCAGAGGCAGGAGGATCTGAGTTTGAGGCCAGCTTGGTCTACACAGAGAGACCCTGCCTCAAAATAGATAGTTGGATGGATAGATAGATAGATAGATAGATAGAGAAGGCAAAGAAGAAAAGAACACTTGGGCAATGATTTGCTGGCACAGCTGCACTGACTTGAACAGTGAAGTGCCCCGTGGCTCAGGAAGGCCATCATGCTGTGGATTGGAAGGGAGTGGAAACTGTTGGTCTGTTCTCAGAGCTCTAGTTTGGGAGGGAGGGAAAGTTGTACAGCTTTTCCTGGTGGATCTTTGCACATCTGTGTGGTCTGTGCTGTCACAGATGTGTCTGAATGCTAGGTCATTAGGGAGTGGTGCTGTTAGGAGGTGTGGCCTTGTTGGAGGTAGTGTGTCACTGTGGGTGGTCTTTGAGGTTTCAAATGCTCAAGCTAGGCCCAGTGTCTCTTGCTCCTTGTAATCTGGATATAGAACTCTCCGTTCCTTCTCTGGCACCATGTCTGCCTGCTGCCTTCATGCTGCCATGCTTCCAGCCAAGATGACAATGGACTAAACTTCTGTACCTGTCTGTATAGGCCAGCACTAATTACATATTTCCTTGCAAGTGTTGCCATGGTCATGGTTGGTGTCTCTTCACAGCTGTAAAACCCTAAAAAATAAGACAGAAGCAAAGCTTGCAGTTTCTGTTCCTTTTAGGAACAGCTTTAATTGGCTAGCTACTAGAACAGTATGGTGTCCATTTGAAAGAGCTTACAGCTACATTCTTGATTCTCAGCATGTTTGCTTGCTTGCTTTATTCTGTCTGTCTGCTGTCTTGTCTTTCTGGTTATCTTTTATGAGTGGACTTATTTCTCTAATTGCTTTCTCTGTAGGTTTGTCATTGTACAGGAAGGCTACTGAGTTTTGTATGTTAATTTCCTATCCTGTCACTTCAATGACAGTGCATATCAGTCTTAGAGTTTTTGGAAGGATCTTCATGGTCTCATATCTAGAATTATATCTGTGAATAAGGATACTTAGCTTCTTCCTTTCCTATCTGCAGCCATTTTGTTTCCTTTATTCCATCTGGTCTTCAGCTCTGGATTTTGGCCCTGCCCCCATGAGGCTTACTTCACCCTCTCTTATTTGTTGCTTTCTGATTTTTGGCTTCCCCTAGATTATTCCCTGGAGACTCTGGCTGACCGGGCCTTAGTGTTACCATCTGGGTCCTTCAAAAATTAGTATTTTTTTTTAATGGACAAGGTGTAGAAGAGAGAGGTCAAGATGTATTTTAAGGTATAATGTCAAAGCTTGATACTGACAATGGATGTAATCACATGTGCAGCACATGGCGTTGTGTGCCATTACAAACACTGCTGATTTCACTGACTTTCTCATCAAAAGAAAAAAAAAAATTGGAGCTAGGGAAATGGTTCGTTGGGTAAGTGCACTTGCTATGCAAGCATGAAGACCTGGACTCAAGAAAAAATATGAATAAAAGAACCTATATCTCTGATCTTCTCCCCCCCCCCAACAAGTAACTGGGAAAAAAAATGAAAGTACCCAGGTAAAACCGAGCATGGTGTTGGATGCCTGTAGTCCTGCCATTCTTGGGGTTGAGATAGGATTTCTGGGGCTTGCTGGCCAGCCAGCTTGCTTCCAAAATGGTGAGCTTCATGTCTAATGAGAGAACCTCGTTAGGAGAAGAAGGCTGAGAGTGGTAGAGAAGGGCACCCAATGACTTTCTGTGCACATCCAAACACGTGATGCACCGTGCACATATGCCATACACCATACTAATGCAAGTTAATGAATGCAGTTCGAAGAAAGACATGGATTCACACAGTAGTAGAAACAATGGCATTGAATTCTAAATACCAAACTTTAAAATTTTCAGCATTAAAAATGAGCAATTAAAACATCAGGGGCCATGAAAACTAATAGTTAAGAAGTGGGGCTGGAGTGATAGCTCAGCAGTTAGGAGCACATCCTGCGCTTCTCATGGACCTGAGTTTTGTGAGCTGTAGTGCTCAGCACCCATGTCAGGCAGCTCACAACCACCTGTAACCCCAAATCTAGGGGCTCTGACACCTCTTCTGGCCTCCAGGGACAGACACACACACACACATCCACTCACCCATTCACACAGACATGTTTATACATAAAAATCTCAAAAACATCTATGAAAAAGAACAAATTGGAATTTCTTATGTTTACAATAAGCACTCAGAAGGTTTAATGAGAGGATGTTTTTGTGACACCCATCTTGTTAGAGTAAGACAATGTGAACAGTGAAGTTCCTCACTTGACTCTTCGTGGCAGGTCAGATGCTTTTCCTCAGCTGCATCCCATTAGCTTTCATGGCATCTTCCAAAGCCTAATCCTGAGGAGAAAGTTCCAGTCCTTTCAGTAGGCCCAGTAGGATGTGGTAGACAGAGGGCTTGTAGGCCCAGGGAATCATCCAGCACACTGGTGTTGCTGGCACCCTTCTTGGCAGGTTCCTGGAGAACCTCTGAAACAATACTGATGTTCCACATCATAATTGTGGGCATTCGTAAACAAATGGACCAATGGGTTATCGAGTGAGTGGCATTATAAAATGAGTGCCTGTCATACTGGGTCTCACTGTGTGATGCCTAGGATTACTTCAAGAGCCTGAGTCCACACTCATAAAAGATGCAGACATCTAGAACAGTAAAGTTTATTTTCTTGATACTTGGTCTCAGGAATTAAATTGTACCAACAGAAAACAAAGCAAGACAGATGGAGAAAACATGAAGCAAACTAAATGGCCAATAAGTCAAAGTCAGTTGGTATTCTACATAGGAGCAGTATAGCAATTATTTGAACTTGGAATTATAAAAATGCTATTGCAACAGCAGCCCAAATAAAGTAATAAAGT